TAAAACTGAGAGATTCTTGGCCTGATACCTGAGACTTTGTAACTTTGCATTGGTATGATAGCCCTGTGCCACACAAATGCATTCATCCAAAAACTCTCAAACACTTTTTGCTCTGCTCTTGGTGTATTTGCTGCATTTAACAAAGTTAATCTTCGTGGTCTTGCTTTACTCAGGTAAACGCTCTGCTTTCTACTCAACCTGTCTGAAAGTTGCCAGGCCCTGAATCAATGAGAACCAGTAGCCACTTTTTAATTCACTACTCAGCAAGCACCAAAGACAGATGCAATTCTTACAGATGAGTTTGTTGAGCATGAAAACAAGCAAGTTCTGATGACAGTTATGAAGGAAGCTGGTTTTCAGATGGTCCCCTTGCAAGTGTATGCAGGCACTAGCTGTAATGCTGTAACTACTGCATCTAATACATGAATCCGCTATGTTTGGGATGCTAATTGTACTTCCTGAGCCGTATTTGCTTTTTCTGAAAAAGCCGCATGCTGGGAAGCAGATGAAAGTTACTGAACTGTACTGGTTCAGAGTGATAGATGGACCCTTCAGGTCAATAAAGAACCTGTTTAGTCAATACAGCCCTCTGACTGGCATAAAGCGTGTTTGTATGATCTGAAAGACTCTTGGCATTAGCTGGCCATTGCCGAGTGGTTGAGAGCTCTCTTGGTGGTCCTCTTGGCTGAAACTAAGCTGATAAAACCGGCCAGATGTCCTATGAACGCTTGATCTTACTTTTTGCTTTTTAAGATAAGTCAATAAACAAGGTTATGTAACCAAGTTTTAACATAAGAGCTTTAATGAAATATACTTTTAGAAATATATATATTCCAGGCAACGGTAAGCCCCAGCTAGTTTTCCCTGTGGCAAGAAGACTTGAGTTGACCAGCCTACTTTTCACTTTGAAATACTAGGAGCTGACAGATGCAGAGGCTGGGAAAGTGGCGTCTGCTGAGTATCTGGCTAAGAGAAGCTCCCAAACCTTGGTGCCTGTACTGTGGTGGCTTGGCTTGGTGACCCTCCCAGGGGTTGACAAGCTGGTGTGCTGCTTATGGCTCCTGCTAGCCTGCAGGGCAGAGCGTAATTCAGGGTGACAAGCTGCTCTTCTTTCCTCTACGCTTGCTGGATTCTAATTTTCTGACTGGAAATGTCCATAAAAACAAGAAGAATGCTGGGTTTTTTTGAGTCATTAATATGATGGATCTTCTTGTGGTTTTCAGCATGAGAAAGGAAGAAGGAAATAATTTTGCATCTGTTGCATTTATTTGCTGTGCTCCACAGCAAGCCTAGTGACTTGTCTGGCCTTTCCTGTTTAGTGGAGGAGCTTGGGGAAGAATTGGGCAACTATTCTTAACAGCCAGTCTGCAAAAATCCAGCAAAGGTTTCTCTCTGCCATCCTATGAATCTAAACAGCATTTGATAGATATGATGCTCCTTAGCCAACGGGAGGATCCCCTTACCTTGCTTAAGTTTAACAATGAATCACCCATGTACTCCTGCTTGTTTCTAATAGGAAATCACTTCACTGGTAGAAAAATCTTTAATTAAAGTAGACTGTGCTTGTTCTGCTGTGGGTTAATTTGCTGAGGCTTAGGAAGAGAATGATAAACTCCTGGACATGATCTCAAATAGCTCAAGAGGTGAACTGGAAAACTTGGGAGAGCTTTTTGATGAGCTGGAGCTCTGCATATTTGATGTCTGGCAGGGCTGACTGGTGCAGTTTCCTGTGTGGGTTTTGGATTGTTTGAAAAGCATGGGTAATGAAGCACTTTGCAAATTGTATCCCTCTGGGGGAGACCTGAGCTTGAAGAACATCAGGTGGAAAGTTTGGGTATATGTCTGAGATGCTTATTTGGGCTTACTTTTTCCTTAGGGAGAAGTTATGAAACTAATTAACTTAATGGGTTGGAAGAGCATTTAGGTGTCTGGCACAGTGACGCAGAGAAAGTAGACACCCTCCTCCTTAGCATCATGGTCTCTTCTCATCCTTTCAGGGGTGTTTTTAAATAGGCTTCCTGGCCTCGGGACTCTTATGAGGGTTGATGTTGAGATCAGCTAGAATCCAGGGACTGAGTCCTTGCCCCTTGTGTCCTGGTGAGGACCTGATCCCTCTTTCCTGACCTGTGCCAAATCCTGTAGAGCTGTACACAATTTCACTTTGAAGTTATGTTAATCTGGCTGTTTAATGTCCTCTTCTGCCCTGCCTCTCTCCTCTTGAGCCGTTTGGTGTGTGCTGTGGCTTCCCTTCTTAAAAGTGGTTGGCACAAATCTCTGCAAAGCAGGGCAAGCCCATCTCATTCCAGGCCTTAGCATCGTTTGTATTGATGTGTGGTTATCCACCTTGGGTCACTAATGGGCGTCAAGTGGAAAAAGTAATACATTTTTATTGCATTTGAATTCATCTCTCACTTTGTTCCTTTGGACCAGCTCCAGGATTTTCTTAGGAGCAGAAGACACTGAGCATCTTAAAGGACAAGAGGGGAATCTGGCCATTCAGGCACAGTGACTTTTATCTCTTCCCCATGAGCTGAGCAGTAAGGCCCACAGAGAAGGGGATGAGTTGAGAGAGTCACTCAATGGGTTTAGTTGTTTAAGATGCCTTAAGCACTGGAGAATAACTGCAGAAATTGGAGTGCAATATCCAGAAGAATTCTGTCTGCTTCATTAGCAGTTATTGGGAAGCACATAGGAGACCCAGGTTCTTCCAGCACCTCATGATGCTCTTGATGCTTTTTAGCAACTGAGCCCTAAATCCACCTTAATGCAGCTTTTTCCTCAGTGCTTAAGACAAATGCAGGTTTCAGACCCAGTTGCTTTAGTGCTCAGCAATCTTGTGTCAATCCTTGCCATGGTTTGAGGTGCTGTTCAGCCAATTGGTTCTGGAGCATTCTAATTTGCAGGAGACACCTGTTCCTTAATTATCACCATCCCTCGTCCGTCTCTTTTTGTTTCAGCTCTTTCTGACGCATGAGCTATTAACATGATTTGACAGGAGGCTGTATTGAGCAGTGTGTGTGTGGAGGAGAGGCTGAAAGAGATTAGTCACAAATTTGAGAATAATTTCCCGTATGAAAGTTGGTGTCTACATGGTTTGCTCTGGGTCCTTGACCTACATCTCTCTAGTCTAAAGTCTATTTAGCCCTCTGGGGTTTGTGCACTATCCTAGCATGGAGTGGCAGTCTCTAGAGGGCAGGAGAAGGGTGACAGGAGCGTGGAATTAAGCTTCAAGAGGGAGAAGAGTGAAAAAAGACTTGTAATTGACTCGTCAGCTTCTGTGTTAAAACTGAAAGTATCTTAACTACTAAGGCTGTTTTAGTTCTTAGTTATGCCTGTGTTGTATTCTGTGTGATTTCAGTGTTTCCTCTAAGGATCCTCTGTCGCTTCATAAATCTGAATTCTGTGCGTGCTTTCTCTCCCATTTGTTGTTTTGTTCTGTTTGGGTTTTTTTTCAAGCAGAAAAAACAAGGCTTGGTGTAAAAGCTGTTCTCGGGTCTGGATATGTCTTGACCGAGTGACATGTGAAACCAAGAGTTCTCTCCTCTGGTCCCTTTCTGGGTTTACTTTGGTCATCTGAGAATACTTATGATTCAAGGCGTTTCCAATTTGCCTTGCAGATATTCTGAAACTGTCTCAAAAAAGGTTTCTTGGGGTTGTACTTGTCTTAAAATAGCTTGAATTCTGTTCTGTCACTTACTCTGTTGGGGTCAACAGAGACCTTGAGGCTCTGCAGCCTGCCCTTTCGAGTCCCAGTTCTTCCCTTCTGGTGACACCTTTTCTCAAAACTGCTTTAAGAAGTCATGGAAAAGAGCAGTGTGTAAATATTGATGTTGAGTATTTGTCTTTAAAAATCCCTTTGGGATGCTCAAGTTGAGCTGTGTGTGCTGTGGCTTTCTAGATCCTGCTTGCTTACGGCTTTAGGACCTGTTAGTATATCACCAGCCTGTGCCATCTTATGGACTGTGGGCAGGGCTGTCTTCTGTAACACCCATTTTGTCTCCCTGTCACAAGCAGTCTCTCTCAGCTCACGTTCAGACCTCAGTCAAGGTCTGTTGTCTTTCTGCAGTAAAGCCTTTCCTTTTCTCTGTCTGGACTAGGTAGGGCTCTTGGTGCCCAGGCAGAAGTGGTGGTGCACGCAGGCCGCTGCTGCTCGGGACATGGGCTGACAGCCAGGGTTTGCCCTCTATGCCCTAGGAGAATGCTAGAGGAAATTCACACAGAAAACTGCACAGTCCTAACTTCCAGCTTTTTGGATATATTTTTCAACCCAGCTGAAGGAGATGCAACAAACTGGTACTGCAGCATTACCCCAGTTTAGTTTTAAGAAGAACTGGTCTCTCAATATACAGCTAACAGGGCAATGAAGAAAGATCTCTACTCATTGACACTGAATGAAGTTCATTCTTATGAATATCTCTGATTCCTTACCCCCCCACACTTTGCACAGGCTTTCAGCTTCCAGATCAACAGCTTGTCACACTATAGCTTTCTGCTGCTAAACAAGCAACTTTGTGCATAGGGAAAAAATGTTCTGGGCAGACCTGGCTCCATTGCTGTTCAGCCTAGGACACCCCAAAGCTACCCCATCAATGTTAACGCGAGCAGACTGGCCACGGCTATTGCTATCCAGACCTAAACTGAGCATATACCCGGATAAAGAGGCCACAGTTCAATATTTAATGTTCCATAAGGCTGCACTGAGAGCTTTTACTGAAATGTGTCAGTAAAGGCGTGCTGTAGCAGTGATAGCAAGCGGCTGAGAGCCAAGAGGATCTTGTGCTCTACTTCCGCCCGAGGCATGTTCTCTGATACCAAACAGCTTGCTTGACCCTCTGTGTCTCAGCCAACCTAGCTGTAAAATTAAGTAACAAAGAAGGCTCCATGACAGTCAGTCATGTCTGGAGGTGAACTTTTAAGGCAAGCTTTGCTCAACTGACATATTTGTCTTACTAGCAGAATTTCTGGCTTTTAACCTAATATGTGTTTTTGGTGTCTTCCAGGCAGCATTTACTCTCCTTCTGGGTCCTTTCACCTTCTTCAATGTGCAGAAGACCAAGTATCTTCAAATCATGACATCCCTCATGAGATGGATAGGTGAGTCTTGCCAGAGTCTTGGCCACCTCCTTACCATAGATGGAACCTGAGTCACACTGCCAATGCATCTTTTTGGCAAGATATTCTTGTTCAGAAGCAAGTGCTTGTCTAAACAACCTCTTTGAGAAGGATTCTCCAGACTTGATAAGTCTTTGAAGAAAAGCATTTTTGTTATAGAATGAATTTTCTGATTTAAAACTCAACCAGACACCAGTTGGTTGATGAAGTTTTAATCTGGTTGTGTGTGAGGCAGGAGGGATTTAGAAGTCTCCTGTGTGGGGGCAAACTGTGGTACCCACCAGTTGCTGCTCAGCAGGGAGGTTCTCATTCTCTCAGCATGTGTATGACAGATTTTGAACAATATTTTGATCAGGGAACAAAAGGCACTTCTGGTATACTTTCTGCTCTTAGTTTTATCATGTTTGCTTTTTTTTTCCCCCTGGTTCTTGCTTTAGCACTGGTTTGGAAACCCACAAACCAGTGTTTTATGCTTGGGAAGCCCTGTGCTTGTGAGTTCTCTCCAAAATCTTACTGCCAAGAACTTGTGGGAAGACTAAGGAATTACCCTTAAGGGCAATAAATAATTACAGCTTCTATTTATTATTATTATCTTTATTATTATCATTATTATTATTTATTATTATTTTTATTTTCACAATGCCTTTGTCATTCAAAGCTGCAGCTGCCTTGCATCTGGCTTGTGTGTGTACATGCCCTTAAAGGCTGAGAAGGAGGTCTGTGTTCTGAAGGCTTATACTTCTCTTGTTTTGTGTAACCTAGTCAGAGCAACTGATATTCGGGGCTAACAGAGAGGGTGTTCCAGCACTAGCAGCATTTCTGCAGATTAACAGTCTCCTCATTCATGGATCCAGGCCATTCAAGCACAGAATTAGTTGTTTATACCTATCACTCACCCAGAATCAAAGGAAAGCTGATTCTCAGACTATTTTCCACCACACACACACACACTTGACCTGACTTGACCAGTCTGGACAGTGATGGATGGCAAAGG